TGGAGCGACACTTGAGAGGGATGGCGAGTGGAAGCAGCAGCCCAAGCGCGCAGCGGGGGGGCGTAATGGCAGCGGTGAGTGAGAAACCTCCGGCGGCCGCGTTATTAAGCAAGCAACAACAACGGCGCTCGCCCAATAGCCCGGAGGAGCACGCGCCAAGCAAGAGCGCCACCACCCTGAGCGCACAAGGTCGGGCGTGGGCCCGATCGCACGGACGAGACGACTCGGCGTGGCGGGACGCAAAAGCGGACCATAGAGGCGTATGCAGAGGCAGGCAAAGACAAGACAAGTAAGGCGCGATGAAATAGAAAAGGAAGAAAGAAAACAACGGGAGTGACCGCCAACTCCATTAACGCCGGACAAAGGCGGGCGTGCCGGTACCGCTGCGGATCGACGGATCGATCGAGCGGCGGGTCGGCCATCTTTCTTAAAGGCAAAAACGGCAGCGGTACTGCGTAGTAGTAGTAACGACGCTCGCACAAGGCACCGGCGCGCAGGACAATAGTGCTATGGGCGAGATAAAGGAATAATTGCCATGCAACGAATACTGCCATACGCCAGAAAAATAAACAAGCTGCTACGCTCTATCTCTCGCTCGCCCATGCTTATCAAAATAAACCCGTGAGTATATATATATCATTCTATTTATTAATGGATTTTATTTTATTTATAAAACTTGCTTTTCACGCTTAATCTAATAGAACAAACCGTTAAGCTATCTATTGGCTAGAATTGTTGTTTGACATTTCTAAATATCTTTACGTCTTGAGCAATTTAACTTGGCGTTAATTTGAGTCCACAAAACTAAGTCATATGGGATTAAACTTATCGCATCAAGTACATTTTAAATTAAAAATTCGAGAAACTCATTTCGAAAATTTTACTTAGACCTAAATTGTGGTGCTAAACAAGCTCGTCACACCGAGGATGTTCTGACGAGACAGATGTGGTAGCAACCGGAGAAGCGGCGGCGAGCAGGCGAGGCTAGAGCGGCTCGGCCCACAGCCACACGCAGCGCGACAATGAGTCGGCCAAAGCGAATCTACTATAATGATCTGTGGCGGGCGCCTGACGGCAGAGTGTGAGCGGCGCTTTCGGCCCTCGACAGCCGGACGCGCGGTGACCACGGACACCGATCCAAAGCAAAGATCTTTGCCACGAATTTTAGCGTCGTGTTTCTTAGATTTCACCGTAGCACTTTTCTGGCCCGTTCAAGTTACTAGCCCCAAGCTTGCACTTAGAACTACAACCTTTATTCAGCACTTTCAGCTTTGCAAAGCGGCATGGAAGAACAGAGGCCCCAACATTGGTTTGTCGGTGTCAGTCATGCGGCGTGGAGAGGAGAGACGTGGTCAAAACCGCTCAACGTCGGTCAAAACAGCCTCGCCCCCCCCAAATGCTAAAAGTGAACGGTTTTGACAGTTAAAATACCGGTACTAGACGGTTTTTGTAGTTGAGGGTTAAAATAAGACCAAAACAATAGTTAAGGGGTCAAAAGTGGACTTAATGCTAATTTAAATGGTTTTGAGAGTTCATAGGATAAGATTTATAATTTTATAGTTTGAGGATGGGCCTGTTAAGCTTGAACTTATCAAATTTACTTATCACCTAGAATCTATAGTATTTTTCTTTCACAACAAAACAGTTTCAAATGACTTATCGACGCGTCTTTAATATCGGCCGAAGGCCCTAAATCATAGGTTTTAGAGTTAAGAAGAAAAATCAAACGTTTGACTAGATTTTCTTGCTTCTCGTAGTTGGGCAGCTGTATATCCAATTTTAAATGCTCCCAAAGAGGCCTCAAAGAGTCACAAGAATTTTTCTCCTTTATTTAGACGGTGGCTCGCTGCTTGCTAGGGAAGGAGATGGGTCATGGGCTCCTGGCTGCAATTTGCTTGGGTGACCTGGGGGCCTGCGAACAAAAAAAAACAAGCAGAGCACTGCGGGCTGCCGCTCATGCTACTCTACTCTTAACCCACGATATGAGCCCGTTGCTTGGCCTGTTACAAACTGGGCAAACACTGCAGTATGGGCCTGACCGGCCCATAGCCCATAGGGTATGAGATACACTGGTTTCATGGACCTTTGATCTGGTTGGCCCATACGGACTGCTTTAGTTAGGTCCTTCCTCGAAAAAGAAATATGGTTCCCTCAAAACAAAAAAGAAACATTATACTTTGATGTATAAAAAAGTAAACATTGCACTTTACTTGCTCTGATTAATAGTGCAGATTATGGTGGACGAAATACACCCGAATCAACAGCCGCCAACATGAGGCACGCTTTTAGACGAAACAAGTATACCGCCTTTAACCAGCAAAGAATTTATATATGAAAGTGATGTAAGTAAATTCATCTCGAAATATAGTTTTATAAAAGTATGTATTGACTATATTTTATAAATATTTTATAGCAAAATGTAGTAGTCAAAGTTATTTTTTAAAACCGTGTCGATATCCAGAACAACTTTCTTTAGGAACGTGGATGTAGTAGTTACTAAACTTCAAAAATATCTAAATAGTTGCACAACCGAATTTTGAATCCTAATAAAATTAACAATAACTCTATCATCACATCAATAATACTTCGCCCGGATGTCCAGACGGACATCTGCGCGTGCTAGCTCGTTTTCGTGCACCATGTTTCCCACGATGGCTCGTTACGCGTGCCCACACGAGACCTACATCGCCCGACCGCTCGTGAGGACCGTCTGCCTGCTCGGCGGCTCCCCAGCAACTGCAGTAGGCTACTGCGGCAAGTGGGTCCCATTCAGTATGTGTAACATCCGATCTACTTTTACAACATTAAGATAAAACACTTGCAACATGTGTCCTAAATAGCCAAAACGCTTGCAACATACGTCTGAAATACTTGCAAAACACCAGAAAAAACTTGAAAACACGTGTGGAGCCATTGCAAAAATTGCAAAATCCAGGTGAAAACACTTACAGCATACGTACGAAAACACTTAAACATTTTACATATATATGCAATATCTAGATATACTTTTGCAACATCCAGATAAAACACTTGCAACATATGTCTGAAACAGATGAAACATTTAGAATATACACTGGAAACATAAGTGTATAGCCATTGCAACATGTGCAACATCTTGATCTATTTTTAAAACATCGAAATAAAAACACTTGCAACATACATCTGAAACACTTGAAAAATACGCTTTCAACATGCGTTTTCAGTGCAATGTTACCTTGCTACCTGTCCGAATTGAGACTTTTCGTTGCAGAGCTTGACGCTGGCGCATGGAGCTCGTGGCGGCGCGGAGGTGTGGCGCGGGCATCTCGCCGGCGGACAGAGTGCAGTCGCAGCAGGAGGCGCGTCTCCGGGCGGGGCGCGCGCGGTGGGCGGCGCGGGCTGGGGCGTGCGGTGTGCAGCGCGTGCGGGGGGGCGGTCCGGTCCGTCTGTCCGTCGGGACGTCCTACAGAAGGCATTTCCGTAATACTTTCGCACACAACGCATATCATAGAGCATACCTACCGTACATACATCACAGAGGGAGGGTACAGGATTCTCATACACTCTATACCATATAATACCATTTAAGGCCGTGCGTAGTTAGCTGTGCCAAGGTGCACATCTATCCTTTTGTAGAGCCTCGGTTCGTAAGTCGAAGCAGGAAGCACTCAACCACGTCTCAGTGCCCAGATATGCTAATTTAGATGATGTAATAACATTCCGACGGTAAACTTGTCTGTCCTAACGAACTGTTATTGTGCTAGTGCCAGCAACCAATGTAACAGCTGAAAGTTTGCAGAAAAATTCGTTTGTCAAACTAAGGTGAGAATTGAACACGAAAGTTGTGTAAGTGGAAGTCGGCAAGATAGAAAACTGAAAAGTCTCGATGAAGCTTTAATTTCACCAGTGTGCTCGATGAAAGTAATGACGACCCAAATGAATTGAATTTTCTGCCACAATCTGCAACTGTTAATTAGGGTACGCGTGCGTGCCGGTGTCTCAGTGGTTTGGAACTCCTGAGCACTGGCGATGATAGTGCAGAGCACACGCTTCGCTGAAAAAACAAGGTGAAACATTGTTCCAGCTGATTTGTTGTGAAAGAAAAATACTGTTTCAGCTGAAAAAAAAAAGCTGAAAAGTATGGATTATAAGATAAGCCAACATGGCCTTTGTTTTACCAACAATGCTTAACTTACCAGTAGTAGTGCTATAACGCTTTAGCGACGTTACTTAATTAGTCTCCTTAATTACTTAATTAGTCCGCGCATTTATTTATGCGATGTTGCTGACTTGCTGTTGGGAGCAGCGACCCTGCAGCTAACAGTCGCTGTTCAGTAGCATATATACGTACGGCGATGTGGAAATGCAGATGTACCGGTCATGAATGTTCCAGTCGACGGCGACCTGACATACATGCGAACACATATGGTCGGCGCACTCTGAATTGCGCTACCTTTGACGTCAAGCCAACATCCTACATGTATAATCCAACTTTGTAGCTAGCAAAGACTACGTGTGAACAGTGCTAGCTTCTACAGCTCGTAATCGAACGCCGGTATACATTAAGCTAAGACTTGGGGTAAATTAAACAGTGTCAGGCAGAGGCTGCTGTCGTTATTGTGTCTTGTGTGTGTTCGTTGTAGGTGTGATTTTATTTGCAAGTATGTAGCGTGTGGTGCAAGTAATTACCACCATGGGTCTGCTTAGCTTTTCCGTTTCTCCACAAGCTAAGCATTGCTTGACGTCGTCCACCTTCTTCTTCCTTCCTGCTCTTCGTCTTCCCCATCATCGGTCGGCGCGTCGTCGGTCCAAAGCTAAAAGTAATGGCGCGCCTCCATTGTGCTGGGTCGTCGTTGGCCAATAACCCCATTTCACTCTCCTTTTCCCTCCCTTTCCCTCTCCCCGGCGGCCATTGCCAACTGCCAGTCCACTCAGTCTTCTTCCCTGCTTAATTTGCCTTCTCTGCTGTGTCTGAACAACGTTCATCAGGTGAGCGCGCCGTACGTGGGTATAGTATAGCAATGGCGCAGGGAAGAGGCAGTGGCGCCGTGGTCCTGGGGCTCCTCCTGCTCCTCCTCTGCGTGCTCCTCCACGGCCATGCCGCGCAGGCGGCGGTGTTCACCGTCGGCGACCGCGGTGGCTGGACCTTCAACAGCAACACCTGGACCAACGGCAAGCGCTTCAGGGCCGGCGATGTCCTAGGTGAGCCTCGTCGAGCGCATGCATGCTTATTTTATTAATCATGGTTACCTGATTGGGAATATGTTGAAAGAATTATTTTGAGGGTGCATGTACATATATATGTGCAGTGTTCAAGTACGACTCGACGGCGCACAACGTGGTGGCGGTGAACGCGGCGGGTACTCCGGGAGCGGTGAATAGGCATATAAAAATTTAAATCAAATCGAAGTTAATTTTATCTATGGCACTCGTCGTATCTGCAGGAGAGATTAATTTACAGTTTCAAATCTACCTAACAAAATTTATATCGGATAAATTTCTTAGCTTCCTACAGGTAGTATATCTTAGATCGGCAAATGAAAGTGGTGGAAATACCACATACAAGTAGGTCGGCCTCAAACTCAAGAAATCATCTCAACAACAACCGAACACAAATGTAGCAACACAAGCACAAAATGACACAAGAATTTATCCCGTGGTTCAGCTCGTCACTAAGGCTTGCCAAAGTCCACATTGTTAAGGTATACCACTAAGGCTTAGGACTTTGCGACCCTACCTCGTTCTCAAGTCAAGAGAGTGAACTCTTGAGAAAAGATGTGATTATACTTCTTGCAAGAGGTGATTACAAATCTCCGGGACGGCCACACAAGTTGGCAAGCTCCACGAGACGACGTTCTAGCCGGCTAGAGTCAAGCTCCAAGAGTAACAAACATAACCGCGGCTAAAACGTGAACCAAATATTTTTAGAGTTTAAGAATCAATGGAGCTACTCTCTAATCGTGTTTTGGACCTTTATCCCTCAAGGATTGATGAAGAAGTCAATGAATTTGCTTAGAGCTTGAGGTCAACAATAAAGTGAGAGTGAGAGGTCCTACTCTATTTTGGACGTCTTTGAAGTGAGGAAGAAGAGAGCTGGTTGGTTGCCGTTGGAAAGGAAGGGCAAAGGTATATATCGCCCCACCTCCAATGGTCACTTAAATCGTAGATATCCGTTGGAGAGAAAGAGAATATATATATACCCCAGCCCCCAACGGACACCGCACCCAAAGGATCGGGCGAGATTTAATCTCGCGACCAAGGGGTCGAGACGAGACAGAGCCCGGCGATCAAGGGGTTGGGCGAGAGCCCACGCACCCAAGGGGTCTCAAGGCGAGACGGAGCCGGCACACCAAGGGATCGGGTGAGTCAGAGCTCACACCCAAGGGGTCGAGGCGAGTGGGAGCTCGCACCCAAGAGGTCGGCCTTGAGTCGGAGATCTCACCCGTAAGAAGACAACAAGGATAATAGTGAAGTGTAGACTGTCTTGGTCAGTAAATCTGAGGATGCATGTGGTTGTTTGAGCACATGGTAGCACATATTAGCTTAAGCATTGTGCCCCCCCTTTATAGTCGGCTTTTCCTATACTCAAATTCAATATATAAAAGAATTTAAATCTTCTTTGAGTTTGAAGCCATCTACATTTATAATTGGGGGCTCATTCGTTTCGTGTAGCATCATCGAATATAAATTCCCTGCTTGTCATTTCGATAAATATCATTAGTTCTCTAATTGCGTGGTCGTTATCACCAAAACCCACAATTAAGGCTTGATTGCACTTTCAATCTCCCCCGTTTTGGTGATTGATGACAACTCAATTAGAGCTTATAAAAGATATGAAATAAATACTGAGATTTTCCGGCTGAAAAAATAGGCTGAAAAGTACGGATTATAAGACAAGCGAACATAGCCATTAGTTGTTTCATGGCTGTAAGTGATCGACAGGGCAAGGTAGAGTGGCACAGGCGCGCTGCGCCATGCAAGAGGACTAGGAGAGGCCCCATCCCAGCCATGTGAGCTCGTAGGCTTGTCTCTACTCTCCGGGCTCCATCGGCTCCTCGCCTCGTCGGTTGCCTTTGGATTGCATCCTCCTGATCGGACGGCTGTGCGCGGAAAGTTTGCGTCGGCGCCAAGGAAACTTCCGGGGCGGTCGCTACCAGGCGGGGTCCCATTCGGGTGTTATTGCAAGTTGGCAAAATGGTTTGTGCGATTCACCACGAGCACCTTGTAGCAACAACTAGCAACCAAAGATGTTGTCAGGACACTAAGTCACCAACCAAATGCCATCAAGGAATATCACAGGCTATGCTCCACCTAGGGTTAAAACCAAACGAGCCCTAAACTCCGATCCAAGGAACAACACCCCTCATGGCCTCCAGTCCCATCGCCATGTGGCGCAGGCAAGCCATCTCGACATCACCGTGCACCACCACCACCCGTCGTCTACTCCGCCATCGTCTCGCACACCGCACTCTTCCCCGCCGTCGCTCGTTCGCCGGCCACGCTCACCATGGCCACAATTTTCCTTGCTCCCGCTTCTCCCGGTTGAACCCATGGCGTCTCCTACGAGCGCCCTCAATGATAGTCTTGGCGTCGCCTCCTCCACCTCAATCGACGATGGCCTCAGCGTCGAGCACTCCTCTGCCTCCTCTGCCTCGATTGACGACGGCCTCGGCGTCGAGCACTCCTCTGCCTCGCTCAGCGACGACCACGATGCCAGCCCTTCCTCCGCCGTGCACATCGACGGCCTCGACGTCGACCCTCTCCTTGGACTGGAGATACAATGTTGCTCCAAGGACTTTTTGGGTCTTCTTGACGTAGTTGGTTGGGTACTGCTTGTTCGAGGGATTACAACACACAAAGTTCAGAAATCATGGGCATGTCGTCTCTCTTGTTGTTGCACATGCTACCTACTCCGATCCTTTGACTTTCTCTCCGCAATGGTGCTCCATTTTTGCGTCGAAACTCTGCTAAACATTGCTATTTAGTTTAATCGCAACATATTTTTAGCACCCTAATCCTGGTTGTGGTAGATATTTATTTTCTTTAGTCTATAGAATTATAATCTATGCCTCTCCCTTTAGGTTCTTTACTTATAAATGATGTAATAGACCATTAAATATTTTTTGAACCATTGATTATTGAGTGTTGATCACAACAGTATGTTGATCGATATGATGCATGTTAAATAATGTGTTGGAACTAATGGTTCTAAAAAGGAGAGAGAGAGAGAGGGAGGAGAGAGCTCGACGATGGAGAGAGACGCAGGATTTTGAACAAGTGGAAATGAGTGGGAGGTGAGGTCCCTTGCCCTGCCCTTGGACACTTATATAGGCAATGACCACTTACAAGTGGCCTCTCGGTGGGGTTGGATTTCACATGACACTACACTAGTTGCTAGTTGGGCCTCTTCTAGGGAGAGATTTGACCCATATACCTCATGGGCTCATACAACAGTAGCCCCTCAACTAGCGTTACATATCTTGATCGGATAGGGTTTCTAGCAACCTTGGTGGTGACTCACGCCTACAAGGATTTTTTCCTCCACTCCGCTGACCTCGCCTGATCCCTACAGGTGCAACGCGTTTAGGCTGTTGAAAGGTCCTTGTGTGGTTTTGGTAATTGAGTGACAACCTACTTGGACTAATTGTGTTTATGTGAGATACACAGGTGATTAGTCCACATGTACATATGTGTGAGCAACATATGTCATGAAGGTGAAAATAGCTTAGAGATGTTGCAAAGCTCACACATGTGATGATGAAGGAGCTTATTGCACATGAGATATGACATTGAGTCATGTGATCAAGGTGGAGAAGATCAAGGCAAGACTTGGCTTGATGGGCCGGTTGCAAGCGTGAAGGGCAAGTCGGAGGCTTTGGAGCGAAGGACCGCGTGGCGGTGAAGCTTGAGCAAGACTTGGCGTCGATGGACGAAGGCAACGGTGAAGAGCAAGTGAAGTCAAGATCGATGAACCAATATGATCACGTGATGATATGAAGTGGATCATATCATTGTTGATCATGTTGGTGCATGTGTTGCATCGACATTGGAGGAGATGGAATGGAATGCGCAAGGCAAAGGTATAACCTAGGGCATTTCATTTCACCGGTCATAAGTGTGTAGAGAAGTTTATGACCGGGTTTAGGATAGATGGCCGTACTATCAAGAGGGGCAAACTTGTTTGCATATCGGTCATCTAGTGCCACCCGAGTGATCTAACTTTGCATCGTCGTTAGGATTGAGTGGCGTGGCAAGTTGAGTGGCTAATCCTTTGAAAAATGATTGTAAAAATGCTAACACACATACACATGGTGGCATACACTTGATGGTGTTGACACATTTACAAAGGAGGTGAAGTTGGAGTTGATGTGGATCAACTCGGCGATGAAACGGAGGCGAAAGGAGAAACTTCGCCGGCGGAGTGTCTACCCGTAGAGTGCGGACAGTCCGATGGTGCCACCGGCACCCTAGACAGAAAAGACAGAGGTCACTGTAAGTGATCGGACGCTGGTCTCGGTTGGACCGGCGTGTCCGGTCAGTGGCAGCAGAGGGCGCGCGTTTCGGTCTTCGACCGGACGCTGGCAGGGTGCGTCCGGTCAATGCTGACGTACGCTGACGTGGGGCGCACAGAAGGGTCGTTGAGTGACCGGATGCTGGCTGCGTCCAGTCGTGAAATGTTGTTTCTAGAACCTTACTAGAAACGACCGGACGCTGGAGGCTCAGCGTCCGGTCAGTTGAAGCTGCTGCATCCGGTCGTCAGATGACCATTGAGATCGGATGAACAACATTTGAAGGAGGGGACACGTGGTGAGTATCACGTGACCGGACGTTGAGGTCCAGCGTCCGGTCGATCGGACCAGAGCGTCCGGTCGTCCTGACTTTTGCCCAGTGAAGGGGTAACGGCTCTATTTGTTTGTGGGGTTATAAATAGAAGCCATGGTCAGCCTTGGGCTGGGAGCTGAGCACACTAGAGCCTTGGTGGCTTATGTGGTGGTGCTTGGGAGCCCTCTAACTCAATCTAGCTTGATAGTATTCATCCGATTGAGTGAGTGAGCGATTCTAGTGCGATTGCATCGTGAGGTTGCATCGAGTGGCACTAGGTGATCAAGTTGCAAGCCGATGGTGCTTGTTACTCTTGGAGGTTGCCACCTCCTAGATGGCTTGGTGGTGGTCTCCGTCGAAGCCCGCAAGAAGCTTGTGCGGTGCTCCGGAGAAGAGCATTGTGAGGGGTATTGTGCTCGCCCTGCGGGAGCCGCGAAGAGCAACTCTAGTTGAGCGTGTCA